CAGGAATATCACACAGCCTGATGCATTGTATTACAACAGCTTGAGTGTTCAATTTGCTCCCCCTTAAAAAAACCTGATCCTCTTCTCTGCACGTAAAGAGAAAGCTCCTGAGCAGTCAGGGAAGGACCACTCTTTGCAAGTCCCAGTCCTGCTCAGAGCAGCTCCATCACCTTCCTGAGGTTTCAGCTGCTGCATAGGAACAGCCCATCAGCCCAGACTGCAGCACAGTCCATATGGGGCTGCTTCGGCCAGAAGAGTCCCAGAGAGGAAACATTGGGATCTCCTCCTGCTTTTTATTGATTTCAGGGGGAAGCTGATCCTCAGCCATCCTTCTGCACCCCAAGGGGGGACCCAGCAGTAGCTGTAGATGGACCGCAGGGCAGTGGGTGGGAGCAGGTTCCTGCCCACCTACCCACAAAGCTACCACAGGCAGGGAGATCTCACATGTCCTCCTCATCAGGACATGGAAGCTCCAGCAGATGTAAAGAGAGATAAAGGAGACATGCATATACACAATGATCTAAAAAACCAGAAACTTTGCACAGGACTATGAGCAAATGGATTTTTCTGTGGACTTGGGAGGATTTCACTGCAGGGACCTGTAGTTTTAGATCAAGGACAAGTCAGAGTAACAAACACAAGTGTTGCCAGGTCATCATCAACCTTGCAGAAAATGCTACAGTTCAGATCTTGATTGTAAGACATGATATGAAGAATTGCACTGTCTATGCTCATCTTCCTTTCAAATTTATTCAGACGAAAAATATTTTAAGTTACTTCAAATGATAACATAAATTGGAGAAAAAAACACCACAATGAAGAAATACCTGTGTCAAAAACATCTAGTGACCAGTGACAGAATGAGGAATCTGCCTACCTTGTCTTCAGAATCACTTTTGCCTTCAGCTTTACTTGGGGAGACCTTAAATGTATTTGAGAAAAAACAAACAGTCACACCCAACTCAGTCTTTCAGAAGATCTGAAAGCTCATCTGCTTGAAACTAGAAGTTTTTTCTAGCACAAAGGTGAATGAAGTACAAATATTGCTTTTCTGCCATGTGGAAAAATTTGCAACATAAATATTTATCAAGAACAACTTAAAGTCAACAGCTAAAATGAAAAATATTTGGTCTAAAGATATATTATTCAAGCTTATACATCCAATTAACCCATAAAAAAGAGCTTTTAAAGATATTAAAATATAAAGTTGCATCATGCAGAAAATTCTTAAGATGAATAAATACCTCCATGTCTACAAGTATCTATGAAAAAGTTTCCAGAGTAGGTTATCATCATTTGATCATAACTGCACTGTACCTACACGTCTCTCTCACTCTCAAGTCGCTCTGAGGCATCTGTTTGGCTTCGTTACTTCTAAGTGCCCATGACAGTGAACATGTTCTATTTAGATCAACATGTCCACTTGGGATTTTTATAAGCAATTTAAAGCATAGCCTAGAGATGAAAAGAAAGGCAAAAGCTTACCAGTGTTTTAAGGAAACTCATGACGGAGTTATCTACTGCAGTAGCTGGTTGGGGGTTGTCTTGTTTTACCTCTGCCTTTTCAGGTTGCTCAGCACTGGGAGCGTTGACACCTGCTGAGTCCTGCTGTAGGTCTTTTTGGTTGCAGTCATCTATCTCCTAAAATAAAGGGGGCAGAGTTTCCTCAATCCCAGCTTGCTTAATTTCCAGTGGAATGCAAAAAGTAACATTTCTGACTTGCATTATGTTGCTCTGAGAGTCACAACCCTAATTCCAACCATAGTTCTCCAGCCTACGTACACAGAACAATCGAGCGTTTATACATCTCTCTCCCCTCTTTTCTAATATATTCAGCATTTGCCACTGGTTGGAGGAACATTGTTGTCAGCTACCAAGTATAACAAACAGAAGTGAAGTTGCACACGGCATCCCAAACAACACTGCTTCTCTCTTTCCAAGGCTGAACTTGTGAATAGGAACAAACGCTGAGATTTGGGCCTTTGATGGCTCAGTGTCTGATTGTACCATACAAAGATTGCTTCCTATACTCTGTATTCTGCAATTCCAGAAATAATTTTATCTGGCGAACACAAACATGGCACAGATTGAAAGAAGGAAAAAAAACCAACTCAAAGTAATTCTTCTAAACCAGATGGAGCTAACTCCTCTCTTCCTGGAATTACAGTTCTCAGAGCCTAAAAATAGTTTTCCAGTGCTCAAGCACTCACAAGTATGTAATATTAAGTTACTCAGTTTCTATTTAGACACCTTTTTTTTTGTTTTCAAAAAAAAGGTCTTCTTGGACCAATTTTGGAGAGCTCAGCACCCTTTTACACTGAACTTGCATACCATTCTGGCCACTTCTGCCTTGAGCCTGCACAGGTAAAGTCAACAAACGTTGTGCAGGAGAGAGCAGCTTGAGACAAGTCCTCCTGGCCCATTCAGCATTTCCTTTTTTAATATTCAAGAGTACTACGTCTGGCTAGTAATGTCTGAGTCTGTTACTGATAATCCTCCTCCCTTTTGTCTATCTGTTTACATTGTAAGTGCAGGGCTGGATCTGGCAATTGTTATTAAAGTAAATTGTGCACAGCCTGATGGTGGCCTTGACTTTGGTAGGGGATTTTAAACATAATTGAGTGGACAATCATAGCAGTGCCATAGTTTTTCAGCAGAAGTTATCATCCCCAACTATTTAGACAGCAGTACACATCTGGTCACTTAGGAAACAGTGACTAAAGAAGCAGTTGTTGGGATACTAGATGCCCAGATTACTCCAGAGGAAAAAATCAGGACAAGAAATAAAACTGATGAGCCTGTCCAGGTGTCTCCAGTAAACAGAATCTTTGAATCACTGCTCTCAAAGACCACCTGGAGGTCTAAGCTACACCAAGGCTTTTTTCCTAATCTACCAATCAGAAACAGTTGTTCAGAGCCATTTTTACAAGGAAAAGTTAAAATAAAATTATACTCTTGAGAATGTTTCCCTGAATTGTGTGATTAAAAAAGACCCCACAATATTTGTATAGCATTTGTATAGGACATTAATTTCTGTAGGTCACTAAAGGAAGTAGACTAAAGATACATAGATGTTTTAAAACTTCAGAGGGCTAATTTGACACCAAGACGAGCACAGAGTGGCCAGTCTCCTTGCAGCGTTTAAGGAGTTAAAATACACAAGGTTTTACTTGCAAGAACAGACTTCTCTCTAATACTCCACCCACCAGTTTCCAAGTTTTCCCAGGAAGAAACACAGCACAGTAATGCTTCAACAGGCTATTTAGAAGTTTCTTACAAGGGTCTAACACACCACTTTGTCCAGCTGCCAGTTACAGGCCAGAGTGGCTCCAAGAACAATATGTCCTATGCAGAACATGCGTGGCCACGCCAGCTTCAGCAGCCCTGCTTCCAGGGATGCCATCTAAAGAGCTCTGGGCATATGAAAAATGCTGGCTCTGTTTCAGATATTAAAGAGGCAACAAAGACATGAGGCAAGAGACCAAAGAAGCAGGAGACAGAAGATATGTTGCTAAACAAAACGAGCTTCATAACTGAACTACTTGATGCTATCAAACTCTTTACTACTAGATGCTATCAAAGAAAAGCAAGCAAACTCCTTTTTTTTAAACACACACAAGCCCAAGCTCTGGCATCAGGCTGCACTGTGTTAAGGAAGGGATCTTTTTGCTTAGCACTGTAGCAAACAGCTATTAACACCAGTAGATACCACCTGGGACAATGGCAGAGGTGACAGGTACCACTACTGGCAGCACGAGCTGCTCCAGAGTATTTCCCTGCTAAAGCCACACTTTGCAGAAGTGACAGCTATTACAGACTGTGCAGAGCTTGAGGCATGATGCTATGCAAAAATCCCTGAACTCCAACTTGCAGAGCACTAACAGGCCCCATAATGACTCACTACTGCACAGGAACCCTGCTCCAGTATTCCCAAACTAAGGCTGCCGTTAACTACCAAGATACAACTCAAATCTGGACTTCGATAGATGCTGCGATCCATCTTGTGCCTTCGTAGGTTTACTGCTGTAGGAAGGAGCACAGACTCAGGTCATCAGCATATAAATCAGGGAGAGATAATGTGGAGTCCTACAATATCACATTTTCAGAGCTGTAGCCAAATAACCACAAGAGCCTCTGCAGCAGCGCACTGCATAATATACTGTGCAAAGCCCCAGAGGCAAAGAATGAAAGAAAACTCTAGAAATAACAGAAGAAAGTCAGTATTAAAAGTTAACAGATACTATGTAAATGTTCAATTCATTTCTTTGAGGAGCCAAATTTAGGGGTAATAAACACCTTAAATACTTATACTGTAGTTTCAGTTCAGTCATTAGAAAAACATATCAAAAGAATGTATTCCTGCCAGCACTTTTGTTTGTATGAATCATGGCTCAGTGAAACATTTCAGGCATATAATTTATCTTTTCTTTGGCTTACATAGTAAATGCTTCATGAATTCATGAATTCTGTCCTTGTTTTAATTATGCTGTGTTCTGAATGTAGTTTTGTAGACCACAAAAATAAAGAGTGGTTCACCAAACACAGAATGTTTGTGCAGCTCTTAAGCTACAACTGTGGAGCCTCTCTCTTACTTACCAGCAATGCTGTTTGTTTTGTGTTGGCACTCAATTCAGGGAAACTTTGCTTTGCTTTTAGCTTTTACAGATACTACAAGTCATAATCCACCAGAAAAAAAAGAAAAAAGAAACTGTTGGCAGCAATATCTGGATTTTTAGTATGATTATTTAGTAACAGTTTGTAGTCACTACAGTAACAGCAACTAAATTAGACTTGGTCATTCTCCCACCCTACATGAGAACTAGCAATTTGGAGGGAACAGAAGGCAACTGTGCTGCAAGGCAGAACCACTTTAATTCCATTTCTAAACAAAGGCTGTAAGTTTGACTACATATCAGGTGTTTAGTTGATATATTTTTCCCAGAAGAGGTCCTTAACTCCTCTCTGCTCCCAACATATACTCCTTTTCATATCTGAAGGATGAAAGGCAAAAGTTCTAGTCCAGAAATTCAAGAGTAAAGTTAAAATTCCACTCCCTTCTGTGATACAGTTCTGCCATTCATTCACACTGAGCGATTTGAACCTCAGTTCTGAGAGTCCTCAAAGATTTTCTTTGGTGCAGCTTTAAACACGCACGTAAAAGATGTACAGACACTTTTATTCAACAGGAGACCTGTCCTCAGGCAGGTCCCGAGGCACCAAAAAGCTGTTGTGCAGGCTAGGATCCTGCAAATACTTACACACACCCCAAACATGACCTACAGCTGATGAGTGTCTGGGATTTACAGATTATTCCCATCAGTGAGGTTCAGGATGTGGATAGGTATAAGATGAAGACAGGAATAGAATTCAAAATTAGTAAGAATTCAGAATGAATAAGGCTGTACTGATATAAAAAAGCTTGATCTGAATGAGCAGTGCTTCTAGTATCTGTTTGAACTGGCAGAATGAGATCCAGACTACCCTGATGGTTGCTCATTACAAACGCTTGCTTTCTTGAGCTTTCCCAACATGACTATTTGCTACCAGCAAATGTTTAACTCAGACTTCTGGCTAAAGCTATGTCAGATTATTTCGTTACAGAGAGTTTCACACTGTACTACTTCCACAGCACGAACTGTGACCTTTCACACTCTGCAGTTTGCAATCACACCAAAATAGGAAATTATGAACTTTGCATTTGATTGCAAAAGTAACAATTCTTGCAAGCCACAAGTAAAATTTATTATATGTGTATATTAGTCAAAGACATCTGCAGGAATTTACAGTGTTGAAAAGCTTCAGTCTTATAAGCCACAAACAGAAGTGCCAGCATGCACTGAATAGATTATTCATTCTGAATTATTCACCCCATTCTGTTTATGTAGTAAATGATTTAGTACTCTGCTAGATTGAGACTATGGATTCTTTAAATGCACATGTATAGCTGTCTGAAATACTAGCAATGGGTGGCACTTTTGAAGAGCAATGGTCAAAAATAGAACTGTTTAGCCTTACAAATGAATCTTCATTAAAATATTAAAATCTATGAGTTTATACAAGAAATATGATCTTCAAATTTGAGCAGACATAAGATAGAAAAGACAAGGTAGAATAGTAATTGAAGAGACCTTTTGGGACAACCTGCAATGTTGTGCGTGCACGCAGTGAGCATCTTGTGAGCTATGTTCAACACCATTCAAAGCATTAGCAACCACAGAGCAGTAATTTGAAAGCCTGAACTAGGCCAAAAAAAAGCAGTTACTATTAAAATGGCATTTACACACATTCTGATGAGGGGGCCATGCAGCTAATTTCTGCCTCCTGTTCCCAGTGTTGGACAGGATTTGAGCTAGATCACTGGGTAGTGTATACTGACACCTCTCTAGTGAAACTAGTAAGAGTTGTACCACTTATCCCCATCCAGGGGATGGGCTTTTTCAACAGTTAATTACCTGAATATTAATGCTGGTATTTTTGCTGATATCAGTCTTTGCACAAAGTGTAAAATCTAGATTCATGTCTGTTTTCAGCTCCTTCCTTTGATTAGTGTGCTCTCTCAAATAAGTTAATTTCTTATATTGCATTCTTATCCTGTAAAATCAATTCTGAGAACCACATTTCCCTGATAAAGAAAACCCCACAATAGCTAAGAATGCAAAAATTGCTACTGCATAATATTCCCTATTCTAGTATGTTGAGTATTCTAGTACATCAGGTATGCAACAAGCAACTGTTGCTCAAGAAGAGTGACTATTTTATAAGAACGGCACAAAACATGGTAAAGAACTTCTTTAAACCAGGCAGTGTCAAACTCCAAACTCCTAAAGTAGAAGAAACAACTTTACATTCAGGTATTTTTGCTTTCATCTGTAGCTGGCTGCTGTTCACCATCCCAGTGACTGGAGCATGAACACAGCCATCTTGCCCAAACCTTTCAGAGAAATACAAACTAACTTAAACTCGATGTCAGGTGCCAGCATTTAGTCGTGAGGCAGACAGCAGAGCTATCACCACTCCACCATGGGTTCTTCTCCCATACCTCTGTTCAGTCACCCCGTCAGGGGGTTACCTGCAATAATTTTAAGAGCAACACCGGTTCATTCACACAGCCATCATGACACCTAGTCGTCCTGCTTTATTAATATTCCTAAGATGTTTCATTAAGAGTGAAACGGATACTCCTACTCAAGCACTTGCCTTCCCTCGCGGGACGCCGTTGAATGTGCTCTGTAATCCAGCAGCCTCTTTCGCTGTGATGTGCCCGTCAGGAAGGTCTGAGGTCTGCCCTTCCTCCTGGGTACCACTTTGTGGTTTACTCCTTTCCTTTCCCTTCTCCAGCTTGAAGATCCTGTCGAAGAAGGTTACTTGTTTTGGCTTTGAGGCGGCCGCATCCTCTCCCTCAGGTGTCACTGATGCTGCGAGATCGATGTCCTGAAGCGATGCTGCTGGCGGGGCCGGGCTCAGGTTTTTATGTGTGCCTTCCTCCCGCGCAGCTGCCGCGGGATCCCCCGCCCTGTCACTCGGGGCTTTGTTCGCTCCGGGCGCCGTGGAGCTGACATCAAGTTTCGCCGATCCAACGGATGAATCTGTCGCTGGATCTTCAGTACGCCCTGGTACAGACCATGAGAACGTGAAGACAGAGCGGGATTTAGCAGATGGCAGAGCTCTCCTGGCAGTGCTCCCAAGGCTCTGCCCGCCCGCGTCGGGAACGGGGCTCTGCTCCATTGTCTTCGGGGAAGAAACGGCCACATTATCCCGTGCAACACTTGCCTTTGCTTCCACTACAAACAGAAGCACAAAACGGTAATTATCCGGCACAGCTAAGAAGTTATACGGGTTGTACAATTAATCACGGTGACTTCGCTCTTTAATAACCTAATTCTGAAACGCGAAGCCTCGAGGAGGACCACACAGAGCACAGCTTGTTTAGAGACCTTGTTGTCTTCCTGGGCTAAATACGAGCTGCTGCTCATCCATCAGACCTGTCCATCTGATTTGCTTTCCTGTCATTCCTCATTGATGTTGGTGCAAATTTTATGTTCTCCACAGCCCCCCCTCAGGTGCCAAAGTCAGACACCAGTCCAGGCTTTTGCCTACTTAGCCCAGTGGACATGCTGAGGATATTTTAATTTCCAGTAAAATTGAAGTAGTGATATGCAAAAAAAAAATAAAATCAAACTTGAGAAAGTTCTGTATTAATATATTACACTTTCCTCTGTCAAAGCTAAATGGGAAAAAAGAACGGAAATTGCCAGGACTGTTTTCGTTTCCTGGCTTGCCAAACTCCCCACAGGGCTCTGCAGTCATGGCTTATTTCATTCATCTTTCCAACACTGCTCCTTGCCTTGCTGCCTGCTCTCCATAGTGCAGTTTCTACTTGCACTTTCTCCTCTATTGTCTGTGGTTAGTTTAAGCCTGATTTGAATACTTATAAATCACATCTGAGCCTAACGCTTCTGACTTTTTAGCCAGACAATATGGCTCTTACTCACATTCCCCTCCCCGTCCCTGAAACTTCTCACAAATAATTCACACTTGTGTACACACATGGCCATCACACTTTAGATGTGAAAAAATATTTCATCCTAAAAGTGTGTTTTATGATTTTTATGTTACAATTTCAACTTGATAATACAGCTGAGGTGAAAACCCCTAATATTGCATTTGCAGACAGGAGGAGAAGGCTCCTGCTTTACAGAAGACAAAAGAAAAAAAATCTTTATTGTGTCTGTTTTGCAGATTGGAGACAGAATCCCAGATTATGTGGTGTGAAACCCCAGTAAACAAGAGGAGGTTTGTTGAGAGGTGAACCTTACAGGTCCGCATCATCTTGAACTTCTCTTTCCTGCTTTGACTAGAATACATGTCTGATTTCCCTGTCAATCACCCACACAGATTTCAAGGATGAATTTAGAACTACTTAATTATAACTGCATAAAACTGACAGTTTCAAACTGACTTGCTAAATTACAATTTTAAAATTGTCAGTTTCACTGTAAAATTGAAATTATTTCAAATCATAATTGTAATAGTCTAGTCAATATTATGCCCTTCACATTTCACTTCAGCAGAAATAAAACCCCAGATACCAACAAAACCTGACTGAAATGCCTGTCTTCCACAGTACAGATCTTTAGTGTTCAGTTTCAGCTTTTATATTCCTTTTTAAGATCAGGAAAGCAGAACATTTTCAGATCACAGCTTTCAAAACTACCCCTTAGCTTTTCACAGCTACCCCAACTTTCCACCCTGCCCCAAGGATTTTGCACAACACACAAGCATCACTGAGCGCTGTATAACACGTGTCCATTTGACACTGTCCTCCTGCAGCAGCACCCGGGGACCCTGGTTGTGTCCCTGGGCAAATGCAGGAGGAGAACAGAGCCTCAACATCCAGCTGTGGCAGCCCCTTCTCCACAGCCTCACTTCTATGACCAGGTGTCCCTGCTGGACCCATGTTGCACAGTTCAGGGTTGGTCCTGCCTAGCAGGAGGTGGGAACTCCCATAACCCTGAGAGATGAGAAGTGCCCAGCGTGCCAGCACGCCAGCATGAATCTCCAGCAACTTTACTGAGATACTCGCTGGCAGTGGAGGCAACAGCTGACAGAGTAAGGGCTGTGGCCATAGGATTCACAACGGTGGCCAGCGCTTCACCAGCTGTCAGGGAGCTGGCTCCTAACTTCTCTACTTCTCACATTTTTCATCTGACATTTGCTTTCTGATTGTGTTTTGAGCGTATGCAAGCGTGCAGAGAGGCCAGAGCACCTCTGTACAACTTGTTCTCTCTGGGTAAATAGATTTTCGCTTCTTTGTGTGCACTCTAACAGAGAAAATTTCTTTCCCTGGATTCTCTGTTACTATTCATGTAAGAAAATAACACACTGGCAAGAATCCTTTGCCAGCAATATTCTTCCGCAATATTTCATGAACACCTATTTCAACACCCTGACATGCAAAGAAAAGGTACAAATAACTAGCTACTTAACTACCTATTCAGTCAGGGCCACTAAGTATCAGTTATAGTTTTCTAAGTCTCCTGTAGTAGTAGATGAAAAAGTACTGAAGCATCAACTTCTAATTATAGTTGGAAACTTGGGATGGAAGCAAAAAGCAAACCCTTCCCCAGCTAAAGAAAGCAGAAACAATATCCATTGGAAAATAATTGTAATAGATGCTGAACTTCTGCTTTATGTAACAGATAAAAAAATGAAACACAGGAACACTGTCTTTAGTATAAAAATAGGAATATAAGCTCATCATTAAGAAAACCAACCAAAGAGTAGCTCATGAACCTATCAAGCTCCTTTTATCTCTAATTATCATGGAAGGAATGAAAGACCTGGAAAGTATCACTGGCATGAGCCCTGCAGCATGTCTCTTGTGTCAAAACAGTTCAAACTCTTTCAGAGAAAGTCTGCTCAGGCACCAGGCAAAGCAGATCCCACCGCTAGTGAGGAGACACTACTGCGGTGGGCTGAACAGAAGAGCTTGACTCATGCCACATTCACAGCAAACCGTGAAGGAGAAAGGCTTTGAAACTGCAGTATTTGGATGGAAAGTGAATGATATCTTTGTTTCTAAAGAGACATAGAAGTGCCTTGCTTTCCAAAATTATTCCATAATCCAGAGGCAGAATTAGGAATAGAAGCAAAATCTCCTAAATTCTAGGTCAGGTCTGCAAGTAGATCAAAGCTACTCACTCTGAATGAGATTAAGAACTGCTCTGAAACTAAGATCAGTTCACAATTTACGGCACTGCTGTGAGATTGCCTTTCATACTACTGCTGCACAGGCATTTTCCTTTCAAGTATTTAACAAGAGACAGTTACACTGCAGAAGATTTGTCCTTCCTTCCCTTTCACTTCATCAGGATATGTTAAAAAGGCAATACTGTAGCTGCATGAAGTCCCTCTTCTGTAAGAACACACTCAAAATAAGGATTTTTAAAGAAATTTGCTAGATTAGACCAATATTTTTTCCTCAATTTATAAGAAAAACTGTACAGAGAAGAGCAGTGGTTAACACAACGTTATGTCAATATAATTTCCCTGCTCAGAAGTAATTGCTGATGGACTTTCTCCCCCCTCTTTTTGTACCTTTAAACATTTTAAGCACTTCCATAGGCTGAGGATGAAGAACAGCACTGTGTTTGCTGACACAGGGTGAGACCAAGCCTGTAGAATTGGCACTGAATTTTAAAAAGTAACTTCTTAGCTTTTAATAGCCTGAGCCAGCAAATAAACTATTATAACGGACAAAGCTTTAAGGTGAACATAGCCTTCAAGCTGACCATATAGATATGGAATTATTTCTGTTCATTATGGGACCTAATGTACCCAGAATCCCATGGGCAGGCAGCAGAGCTCAGAAAGCATCGGTGTCAAGTGCCTGCAGCAAAGCACCTATTTCACATGTGTTTGGGAGCAAGATGCAGCTCTCAACCAGAGGGAACAGCAGATGCAGGCAGGAATCCTGTGGATGTGACTGACATGAAAGGAAGTTCAGAGCTGCCAGCCCAACATAAAGGAAAAGGCTGCCTGAGCTTTTGTCAGCTGATTTGCTTTTGCTAATCAGTGGGAACATAACCAGACATCAGCCTGGTGCACATAACAGATGGCAGCCAAACTCCCTCAAGTGGGACCAAAAGCATTTCTGTCCAGCACTTCCAGACTGCCTTCCCCCCTCCTCCACTATAACCTGATTTTCAGTGGCGCTTACTTTGCTCTTTTTATGCCTGGCAGCAGCGTAAGCCACGTACTAGGTAGGCGTCTATTTCTGATGCTCAATTTGCCCAAGTTAAATCCTTCAGCTGCTTTCTTAAAACACCCTCCTTTTCCTTAGCCTTCCATTGCGAGTCTGGTTTCAGTAGTTATACACACCCTCATGGCTAATACTGACACATAGTAATATATAGTGATATATTTTTGTAGATATTGGGTAGGTTAATTTTTCCTTTCGTTATTTAGAATGGAGTTGGTATCATAATGCTATAGTAGATGTAGAGTTTTCAGATCTCCAAGTACACCTCATGTTTGTGTGGGAGATCCCCAAAATCTGTTGTGACAAGACTAAATGCCTGAGTTTTCACAAGCATTAGAGAATTCCAAAATAAAACATTTTCCTCCTTTCTTAAAAAAACCCCACAAATATTGATACTCTATTTGCATGGAATAGTTAAACAAGATTGCAAAAAAATTTGACATTTATGCTAGAAAAATTTTGTTTCACTAAGTTAACTCGCATAGTTATTTACCCATCAGATTTAATGAAATTAATGGAAATAGAGGAAAAGAAGCTAGCAGCAAGAATGGTAATGATTGTTCTTAAAGATAAAAATGCATCATATTTCACACCTCACAGGGATGCAGAATTATTGCAATACACCCAGTTGTGTTAGATACTGGCTAGTAGCAGAATTTGCTGAATCAGATTTATCCTCTGGAACAAAGGAGTTGCATCTTGACTGAACTTTTCTTCCTTGTCCAGTCTTTCTTTTTATGTGCTGGTCATTGTTTTAGTCTGCATGTAACTGCCACTCAAATATAAACAAATTTATTCCCATTTTGTCTTCCTGATACGTTTCTGCTCTATGTAGTGCAAATGTCAGAGATATATACTTTTAGTTCTGGCCTTCTTCCCTTCCCCTGTTGTCCACCAAATACTTATATTGCTTAAAATTCAAAAAGGGCAACACAAAACATTAGGAAAAGTCAGGATCAGGTTTGTTACCTTTTTGCTTGTAGAGCAAAATGTCATGAAGTAGCAGTAAGGGCACTACTGCTATTGAAGTGGCATTACAGGAGGAGAAGGTAGATGGTAGCACTGTGCAATGTCTGCAGCCCTGATAATCGATAGGAGCAGGAAAGGCAAGTCATGGAAAGAATCCCTAAGTCCACACATCTGTCAGCCTGTTTGAGCAGAAGCAGCAAATGTAGGGAATCAGTCACCAATCTGCTCACCCAGATGTGAAGCAGATGGTGACGGGACTCTTCCAAATAACATTACTTCCTCCGGTCATATTAAGTTAACTCTCTGGATTCTTTTTTCATTATATTAGCAGAGATAGATTTCATAGACTCATTTATCAACTATACCATTTAATGCACAGCACATGGTCAGATCACTGGCAATCACAGAAATGCAAACTAACAAGGCAAAGACCACAAACACATCTAACACTATTAATAAAATCCTCTTGCTTCACTTGCTTTTTCTGCAGCAATTTTGTCTTCTCCAGCAGCGCTCACTTTATAACCATAAAATAGATTACAGCACTATTTCTTGCATTTTTTCATTTTAGAAATACTATCATTTTTTATAGGAATAACTTCTATCTCCAAACAGAACTTCCACTTTTATTTCACCAAGACCTTGATTACACTACACAAACTAGTGCGATTTCAGTGATATCTAAATAGTTCCTGATTTTAACCGCTTTTTAAACATCAATAAAGTTAAAACACAAGTAATATCAACACAGGACAGTCCAATTTTTCAACTTGCTACTTGAACTGATTTAATAATTACATTAATTAGGTAATCTATTTAAGTAAAACAATGCCACAGGCTTCATTTTATATATTAAGAATAAAACGTACACTTATTCTCTAGGTCTTCAGACAGTGTAAATCATGTGGCTTTTATTTACTTTCCAGAACTCTGCTGGTTTTACATCAGCACAAACACACAGCTACAGGCTTTTATTTTCTAGTAGGCAACCATTTAAACTGACTTGTAACTAAATAGCATTAGGAAATTAGCCATGGAACAGAGAATCTGAACTGTAATCAGTACCATCTGCTTATTGCCATACCAGTCTTTGATTATTTTTGTCTAAGCTTAGATTTTTCAACTGGATGTAACAGGCTGAGAGGATTCTCTTAATGAATAATACAATAATATTTTCTTTCCTTACAGAGATCGGAGAGAATTTTTGGGTTTTATTGTATTCTAAAATTAGAAAAAAATCCAACGCAAGGAAAACACTAGTAAAATTAACGTGGCTGAACCTGCAGAGACATGAACAGAAGCAGCCCTGCTCCCAGTGAATGCTGCTCAAAAAGGCTCCAAAGCCGGCAGAGGTGGAAGGAGAAATTAATGAGGTGCTGAAAGATGAGGAGAGACACACATGTCTGTGGATGAGGGCAATTGCCCATGAATACGTGGAGATAACTTTTCAACTCTGGGCTTTAAATAATTTACATTAATACATCTCTTCTGGGCTTGCATGATTCCATTACCCTTTCCTACATTTGATATTGTAACAACCCAGGGCACTTGGTAAGCATCCCTCAGAGTCATGTAGCTAAAATGCCAGATCAGCAGGGTAAGCCACATTGTGCCAACTCCAGGTATCCCCTGAAACACCTTCCTTAAGCTCCTTACAAAACTTAAACCAAGTGAGAGGCACTGAGCTCATTGGTAAGCAGATCAGTGTTACCTGGAGCAAGACAACAGTCATTTTTCTGGCCCATCACTGTCTTACCGCCTCTATCCATCCCAAGATACTCCATTTCTGCAAAGCTTTGTACAGTTCTAGCCTGCCTAGCTTTAGGCATTATTATTAAGCAGTCTGAGCATGGAACTTTAAGTCTAGGGCACAAAGCTGATTTCTTTCATAAACAGAAGATTACAGTGGCTCTCTTATGTAACAGCCCAGTTTCTGCGTAGTCCCCCAGAGTTGTGCTCACTATGACCAGTGAGCGAAGCAAAGCAGCCTGATCAACAGCACAAACATTTGTCTTTCAGAGATTACTCCACAATACTTGGGGAATGTTTTAAAGCTCAACAAATTTAGTTTCTAGCCTGCATAAGTTTACTCTTTCCAGGGCATTCAGTCTCCTTGTTTGTTTGTTTTTTTGTAGTCTCCTGCATCCCCTCCAGACTATCAGTTTCCACACCAGTGGATATTTCAATCTGGCATCCGAGCACAACAACATCACCCAGTAAAGACGCCGTGACATTATTTAAAGGCAACCTGCTCTCCCTTGCAATGCATGAACTGCCCTCTTATTCCAGTCTGCAAAACATTTCTTTATGTCCCTCACAAACACAGAACCTCACTAACAGGCCACTGACTCTTGCATTGATGCTGTTGCTGTGTTATATCCCTTCCAAGAGCCCCAGTTTGTGCTCCTCGCAGCCATGACCCCACCAAGGCTCGTTAGAGGCACTGTTTCCACCAGAGCCCAAGCAGAGGTAGTTTGTCACAGGACACCCTGAGGATTGTGCAGCAACCTGAAAGGGACCAGTGCCAAACCACTCCTGCCTTATAGTACTGCGCACTGACCTAAATCGTCAGTCTATAAAACCACTTTTTGCAGACCAGATGCAGAACCAAATTCTTAGAACAACTAAACAAACAGGTTCCAGAGGATTTTGAAAATATTTTCTTATTTAACTCTTTGTTATCTTTAAACTTTCAAGCTTCTGAAAAACCACAGGGACTGATTCACAAGTAAAAGCTAAAACATAAGGTTATCTTTTATTTCAAGACCATTCACCAGTATTTATTGTTGCTCCAGTATAAACCTATCTCTGCCTGTCTGGTGGCAAAAGAAATGCAAATATGCCACCCTTTCCTGGTACATACCTTCACCATTCATTGCAGGAGAATGAGTCTGAACAAATGCAACAGATCCATTTTTAATATTGTCAGGAGATTCAGATAGAGCCTGAAATAGCAAAGAATACAGTTCTTATGACTGGTACATCATGAGGTTTGAAAATTGCAGTATGCAATAGCCAGGGGAGATGAGAGTGGGCAGCTCTTGCTTACCTGATAGCTCTTTACTGTGCATGTATTGTCTTCTTCAGCTTCCTCTGGGACACTCATTGTATTCCCCATGATTCCTGTAAGGTGGAGGAGGAAAAAACCCCAAATAGCTATTTCGTGCTTATTAATATGAATTTACTGCCTCATTCCAATTAAGAGACAGCCAATGGTGACAGACCTTGACAGGCTTTTTAAATTCCTAATAAACCCCACCTGCTTCCCTAAAGGCACTTGCCCCAGTCGTCAGTCTGCACCAACCTGTCTTACTCAGACCCGATTACACATAGGGGCTCACAGCTGCTCACTGAAAATGGTACAAACTAACAAACTTTTCTTGTTTGTTGTGGAACACTGGATGTAATCACACTTGCATCATTCATTAGGACTCAGTTGATAGTAACATGGAGTTAGCAGCAGAATAAAGTGAAAAAGACCAAAATATGTGAATAAATTACAGCAACTTAGTGGGGTTTTACATTTTCGTTTGCTTTTCATTCAAAAAAAGAAGAGAGAAAAGAGGCAGCATGTAAAGCAATCATGTATGTAAACTCCAGGAATTAGGCCCTGTATGTCAGGTAGTTGGGTATAACAAATCCTCCGGGGAAAATTCTTTCCTGTGGCTGTGGAGGTATTTAGCCTGCTCGAGACAGCTCCACCGGTTTACTATGGCTCACAGATGTAGCTGTGCTATGTTTCCCTGGCTCGTTCGAGCATTGCCCAGGCTGTAGCTGCAGCAAGTCAGAGACAACATGAACCAGCCACTGCAGCATTCATGGGTGGTCCTGGATGTGTTTATCAAGCACCTTGTGTTGTCACTACCGATACCTGAGCCAGCTGCTTTTAAATGGCTTTTGCATGTTCCTACCTCCTGGAGTCACAGCTCTGACTACAATCCAGGCATAATCTTGGGGAGTTAATTACTATTAGTACATTAGATAATTCAACACCTAATAAAACTGTTCTGATTTCTTTAAACTTTTTTAAACTTTGTTTTAGGAGCAATGTGTTTGATTCAATTTTAGCCTCTTTCCTATGTACAACTACACATAAACCTGTTGGGTGTTTTGTTTTGGTTCTTTTTCTTTTTTTTAATTTTCTTTTTCCCTTAATTTAAAATACATTTATCTACCATCTGAACTCAGTATGCTTTAGGACTGTAAATTCTTTGAGGCCAAACACACTCCATGCAACATGGTTGAAGGGCAAACCAGACTGAAGTCAAGAGGAAGATTCCTATTGACTTTGGCTCAGGTTATATATATATGTATATATACTGTTAAAGCTACACAAATAAACAATAAGGAGAGGCTATTCTGAGCCACACCTTGAAAGAGGAAAGTCTCCACAGAGAGGAAGGAGAGCTGCAGCCAGCTCCAGCCTCAGTGCTCATCCCGTTGGATGTCCTGCACAACCCCCATAGTACCAAGTGCTCTTCTGTTTTATTATTGCTCTGGTTTGTGCCTGTAAGAATCAGTGAAGCCACAGAGGTATGGATGAGAGCAACTTCTTTTGTGTTTTAATTAACCCTTGGCTACTGGAGAAAAGGAGGAAAACAGTAGTTTTGCTAAATCACTTTCCCTAGAATTTGAGCGTGAGATCTGGGGGCAGCTTTCCTTTCAGCCCCCAGCCCCCAGTGTCTGCTTCCAGTTACTGTTTACAGAACTCCAGCTGGTCGTGGTTTTTTGCTAAGCCCAATCTACAAACCTTTGCTTTACAAGGATGGTCCAGATCTGGTTTCTATTTTATGCTGCGTCCTAGCTGATGTGAAATCCAAGCTGGGCCTCCCTCCGGAGACGGTTATTGTTCTCTGCTGAGTGCCGAGGGCTGCGCTGGACACTGAACGGCCCCCACTGATGCTGAAACATGAACTGCTGCTGAGAATCGCTGCATAAATAGTGACTGAAGGACTGAGCCTTGATTCCAGAGTACAGAGTTGTTTTACAGGGATTTTATCTTCTCAGCTGATGTTTCCACTATAAATCAGAACTTCTGATTTACAGTGGAAAACAGCCAACATTTCCCCATGGAGGTACAATGGTCTCTTGTCCTTGCTATGTAATTCTGTTTCCTAGCAACTTTAAGCATTATCCTATCATAAGAGAAGAAAACAAGATTCAAACCCTACTGCTTAGTCTCGATGGTAAATTTAGTATCTGGTTGAATGTAGAGGATTTACTTTTGTTTTCCATTCACAAGGCTGCCTGGTTTATGCCAGAAGACAACTTAGACAGAGGATGGAATATTTGCAGGTTACGTGCATCCTTTTTCACATGTGCTGTAAAATCAGTACATATCTGCAGGGAGTGAGAAAAGTGAATTCCTTTATTTTTTTATTTATTTTGACAATGATTTGTAGCTTGATTCTCAATAACTCCAGTTTCCTGTTGATGCAGTTCTACTCACGTCAGGTAAGTTATCTTTAACAGATCCAGAGCAGAGATCACAGGCTCTGATCTCTGGCATATTTTACTCTAAGAGAATACTCATTTTCTACAATCAAGTTTATCATTCTCACTGAAATAAAACACACACAGTGGTCGTGGAATTTTTGAAGATTTTCACTTAACGGAATTCTCTCTTATAGGAAGCTGAGCAAGACTTGGAGGCTATTTTTGCTAAAAGGCTGGGAAAAACTTGCTACATAACCCTTTTGGAATGTGATCTCAAAATACCAAATGCAGTTCTCCACCAGGCACATATATAATATGTGTTCAGACTTTTTCCTTCCTTGCAACAGTAATTGATTATTGTATTGCATTGATTTTTGCACTGTATGAGCAAGTATACATGTGGCATCCTCTGGGGCAAAGTGGCTAACTGAAGGAAGGTGACAAGCCTGTGGCCGTTCCTCTGGGTACAGTCAATGGCACAGCCCCACAGCCCCGGCCCAGATTCCTTAGAAAAATTAGGAAGACATATATGTACGTATGATTCGGCCCTATTTTACAGAAAAAATGAAAGGTCACTGCCACCTATAGACAAAACCGAGTATCAGCAGCAGTGATAATACACACGTACAAAATGGTATCAAATTGGCAGAGTTTCGAGTGGCCAAGCAAGTCATGTCCCAGATATTCGCTTCTGCCATCGCATCTAGAAGTTGTTGCTGCAGAGGTAATTGCATCCGACTGCATCCATATGTGGCTCTAGATTTACATAAACGAGCTCTGCTCCAGCTCAGTCATTAACGTGAAACAGTTACATTTTCCACAGTGTGCTCAGCACTCCAGTTTATATTAACAAATCAATTTTTGTCTCATTTGCAACACCTTCTCTTGAAGATAAAATTATTAAATGTGGAGCCAAGAAGATTTTAGGAAAAATAAGGGGTTCCCACAAGTCTCTCATTTGGTGTCTTTTTTCACCAATGCTTTTACAAAGACCACCCTTTTGAATGGAGGCTCCAAAAACCTGAGTACCAAGCCCCATTCTGGCACCCAGCTACAGTCCTCACACAAGCAAACAGATTTTCAGAAGATGCTGAGGACTCCCAGTGTGCGGTGAGTTGCCTGAGGACCACGAGTCTTGGGGAGCTCTCAGGATCTGGCCACGCACTCGCTCCTGGTGTGCAGAATCAGACACTGTCAACCACTGAGGACCTCGTCCAGCTGTGAACCCTACGTCATCTCTTGGGATGCTGACTTCGTGCCTCCATTGGGTGTTTTTGGTACGTCTCGGTTATTAATCATGGTTATTTATTAGTGGTACAGCCACCAGACAGGATCTATTTGTGCCCTTTGTTCTATGTCAGAAAAGCACAAAGCTGGTCTCTGTAGTAAGCTGTGAGTATGGAGCAAACCTCCACCAGACCTAGGAGGTGTTGCTGGCAAGGTATCTATTTTATGAGAGGAGGTTCGACAACATTTACAGAAACAGGACAATTTTTGAGGATTGAGAAGAGAAAAAAGCTGATCCTGACACAAGAACACTTTTTTTTCAAAATGAGAAGAAAACCCTTAGAAGTGGAGAGGAACTGGATTAAGCTCATTCTCATCCTTAGGCTTCCTTTCTAGATACAGTCTTTTCGATTAAGTTCCAAGGATATTATCCCTGCGGGGGGCTCATTCAGACCACCTGGAATGCAGCCCGACTTGTTTAAAAAGGAACACGAACTACCAGCCTCCAGATCAGACACAGCACTGACACAGTTCCTTTCTCAAATTATGCTTCACTGCTTCTCTTGTAATGCAGAAAATAATCCAAAAGGAAACTACAGTTTTTAGATTTTTAAAAACTTTATATGAACCATAGTGTGCCCCGAGCATGAGCTCAAGGCTTGGTAAAACTTCCCTTCTTCTCTCACTCTCAAAAATCATTGTTTTGGTCCTGACAGAGTGGTAAGAGCTTTGAAAACTACAAGAGAATATTACAACAAAATCTGTGATCTGCTGTGTACTCTGGCTAAAGGCAGATAAGCCTGACCTTCTACTGTATTGACCAACCTAGAATATTACAATAGCTCGTGTCACAGTGTCTAGTAATATAAAAAGTACATAATTAATGCCTCACTAAAAGTTGCCATATGTTGTACTTATATTTCAGAAAAAATAATCAAATTAGTCCTGTTTGCATCTCATTTCACTATAGATATGTTCACTCTGCAGGTGTCACGGAAAGACTTAAATAAACTTAAATATATTCCAGAGGCAAAGGAAGGACCTAGAATTCACTAATTCATGCAAAAAGCAGCCTGTGTTGTGGCCGCAGGGCAAAGACTGGATCCTCTTTAGTACGTCCCTGTCCCTTATCCTGTCTCTTGGAAAAGTGGTGAACATGGGGACATGTCAATCAGTGTCCAGCTAGAAAGGCAGAAGCTCCTGCTCTGATTCCCGTGGAGCCAAGGAAGGACTCATAATAGGATAGGGTTTTAGAAAGTCTCCTTACCTTCCTTCAGTGCAGCTCTCAGTTGCTATCTTGCAGAAAAAGATAACTCAGACACGTGTTGGGTATGATGACACCTGGGGACAAATGCACCTGAGCATTGTCAGTGGCTAAGGAGAAGTGGACACACAATAGACAGTAATGAAGGGACGGGAGAAGGAAGGATTGAGATGACTCACCTAGAGCAAACA